TCTATGAGTTGAAAATGGGAAACAGAACCATTTGACTCTGAAAGCAAACCATGATAATGAATAAAAATGAGTAAATGTGTTTGCTTGTTTTCTGTTTCCTAAACAGGCAAAGAGTACTGAATAAATCTTTTTGAAAAATGAAGAGTGATAATAAAAGAACATTTCATGCTGAAAGCATAACAAAAAAACCCCAGATGTGACTATCCATCTTGTCCGTCTTGGAAAGACAAGTGCAAAAGATTGGAATCTTCCATGGGAAATAGGTCACCATTTTGAATTTTGTTTAAACAGAATCCTCAAGGGAACATTATCCTCAATTCTTTTTCTGTATTAGCTCAGTTTTTCCAGCTGTTTTCAGAACATGCATATTCCTGTCTAGCTGCTGATTTGTCTTGGTCTCCCAAAGGTAGTTGTATTCCAGGAGAATAGGAACAAAGTGGTTCAAAGTGATGCCCTCGCTGTCAGTCAGGCTCATTCCAGTCACATTCTATGAGCCATACACATTTGCCCGATAAAATGGCTCCTTGATTTCCAAATTAGGAACATCTTCAGTAACCCTCAAGCTTTAGTATACTTGCACTCCCTTGGAATGGGGCTTAAGAATGTTGATTCCCATACCTTCGTTGGGGCCAAGGAATCAGCATCCTTTGTTCTCATGCTTGCGTCCTGATCTGATGTATTTCTCGTACAACTCACAGAGGAACCTTGATCTAAGAGATCAGATCAGCAGCCTCCCCCTACCACCCCGCCTTAGGTCTGTGGCAGGATTATTTTAACATGCTAACATAGCTTAGTTTCCCATCCTTCTCAACCTCTAGGTCAGAGACTCCAACAGCTGCAAGTCACGTTACTACTCTTCCTCCCTTGTCCTTTTCAATTATCATTTAAAAATTCTCCTACTTATCTTCTGGAACCTTGTCCTGTAACCCTTCCTCTCCTGGAGGCTTAGATATAGACAAAAGCCTGAGAAGCTGTGGGAGCTTTCCCTCCCAGCTGGGTGGTCAGAAACAGCCATGGGCTGTACTATGCTACACCTTCTGGTTTAAATCAGAAACCGCAGTCTAGGCCACTTCAATGGCCACCTTTTCATTGACATTTACTTTGTCCTGAAATTGCATTTCATTGGTCAAGGGGGAGCAGGCAAACCTATCATTAATAATGATAGTTAAGAAACCTGCCAAAAGTGTAATATCATCATCTTCATAGTCTAAAGATAACATGATGGTCTATTAAAGAGGAACATATTTACTTGTAATTTTGCACAAATGTTTGTTTGGAGTTGATGATGCTCTAATTTCATGTAGGTAAGGCGGAAGGAAAACTGAATTCAATTTTATTAAATTGTAAACCTAATCTTTAGGAGGAAGGTCAAAGCAGTGGGAATGGACTAAGGATGTGATGACTTTTCCTTCAACATCCTCCATCACAGAGAGACAGAGCTTGACATTCACACTTGGCCTCACCCACAGAAAGAGACTGGCAGAGACAACAGAGACTCTCAGAGACAATATCTCCAGCTACTTAGGAGAACAACGTAGAAAACTGAGGCAAGTGTTTCATCACTGAACACAGTGATCACTGACTCAAGTGCCCAGGGGTTCCTGTCTTTGAACCAAGCACTTGGGAGCCTGTCTCATACAATGTATGGACACCGATCACCTAGTACTTCCTCATCTGTAGGCTGGTCTGGTTCTGTCATACAAAGCTACACCAGTGCTTCCCAAGAGCTTTGACTAAGTCATTTTTATTTTTCTGGCTCTTGCCACAGTGACAATACAAGAAAAAAGCCATACTTTTATACCTAACAGTAGGGACATCTATGAGAAGTCCTTTTGTTGGGGTACTTTCCTTGACACTGAGGAAGATGATTATAATTTATCAGACAAGAAAACCACAGGGTTCATAAATCAAAACTGATTTTGTTCCAGTAGTTTGGCCAAACCTCAGCATTTGTCCATAGGTCTAATTGTGATATTTTTGAGGAACTAGTCTGACCTTCTGATCACCTTCTATTTATAGAGTCATCCTTTGAGTTTGCCTAGTTTTGGTCTGGAAACTGTCAGCCTGTACCACAGTCATACTTCCCTTGTGGGTCAGCTCTGGAGATGACTGGGTACACTGCTTTCGACTGCATGTGTCAGGGTGGAGTGTGAAATAGATTTAGGTAATTGCAACTAGCATTTTTATTTTCAATGAAATGCAATAAAATTTCAGATTACATTGCTTCTGGGAACTTAGGATAGGTATTATTTCATGGAATTTTATTTGTAGTTGTATTTATATGTGTCATGAATTGTAAACTATATTTCTTGTGAAGGGTTAAGGTTTGAAAAGTTAAATACTGATCTAGGACTTGATTTTGATCAGTAGAGTCTAAGAGCATGAATGCTGAGGCCAAACTGTTCAAATTTGAATCCTGGCTCTGTCACTTGACAGCTGTGTGACTTTGGGCAAATTACATAAGTTTTCTATGCCATAGTTTTCACACATTTCATATTTGTAATATGAGATTAATAATAGTGGCTACCGCACAGGGCGTAAGGATTACAAAGTTAACATTTGTAAAGTATTTAAAAACATTGTAAGTACCTGACAAATGTGGGGTGGGGGTGGGGGGAAACAATCTGTTCTCCAAGTATCCTTTCATATTCTTTTACATACTGAATCAAGACAACAGTATTCCTGCTCTGTGGATATTTGTAATGTAGCATGTAACTATGTGCTTGAAAAAGTGGTGTGTTCTGAATAGCATTATACTGGAATGTTGAACGGCGCCTCAGAAGCGGACCAGTGGGTTCAAACCACAGTTCTGTATCTCGCTTGCTGTGAGACGTTTGGCAAAGTTATTTGACTTTGCAAATCTTCAGTTTCTTCATCTATAAAGTGGGGCCAATTGAGTCTGTCTTACAAGATTGTTGCCAGGGTTAAATGAGACCACCTATAGACAATGCCTAGGGCTCAAGCAAGAATTGCTATTATTGTTTCTCCTGTTAGTAATTCAGATCATGTCATTGCCTCTTCTTTCCCGATGCAGAGAAGTAACCTCTCCTTTTCTTTCATGTGAATGGTTTGCTTAAGTCCTGATTTCATTTTGGCTCTGTCGAATCAGCCACATAGGGGCTCAGATAAAGACCAGTACTCCTGACTAGAAAAGCAATTGTGAGGCCCAGGACTGCATTCTGACCGCCCCACTGTGCTCTCTCTTCAGCCTTGCTGTCACAACTTAGTCAAGGCACTAGAATTGTCCTTTTGCCTCAGCAGGTATTCACATCCCCGCAGATAATCCGGAAGTGTCACAATATATGCCTGACAGCCAGAGCCCGCTTTGCAGTATATGGCTGTCTATGGCAATAGGTTCATGCCGTATTTCCTTCCCCTTCATCCTGGGGGGAGGAAACTGATCAGGACAAAGCTTGCTGTCCAATATAATGAAGCACTTTGTGTGATGTAGCACTTGTAAATACTGTGATAGCATAAAAGCGCTCATTAGCTAAAGGGGCTTTCAACTCCAGTCCTTCAGTTCTTAAGGACCTTTGGCAAAACTGTTCTGATAAAGAGAAATCTAAGATTCTTGAGGACCTGTTAACTGTTTTTCTGTAACTCTCCCCCCTTCTCCCATGACACATTGTTCTTGTAGCACTACCACAGCTTTAAAAAATTAATAATGGAGCTATATTATGCAGCATCAATCTCTTGTCTGACCATAAGCTCCTCAAGGGCAGGGGACCTGTCTTATTCATCTTTGTATCCCCTGCAAGCACCTGGCACACAACTCAGTCAGTGTCTGTGGAATTTAATCAGGTTGAATTTATATCCCAGGTCACAGTGCCAGATCTCAGAACAGGGCTGGAGCTGAAAGCAAGTGAGGAATCATTTATTTCCCACTGCTAAACCGAGTGCTGGCTTCCAAGAAATGTAAGTCACTCAGTCACCCAGAGGGTGCATTTTCCAGTCCGGGGGAGGACAGTCAGGTGAGTCTTGTGCCTTTGGTGAAAGTTTTTTCTCCCAATTCTTAGGGGTAAGGAAAATGAAGCACTTGGTCTTGCTTCCTGCTGGTTTACAATCCAGGGATAGGAAAAACTAAACTGGAAATGCAAAGTCTTTTCATGCTCTACTTAGCTGATGTGGAGAGACAGGCAATGGTTAGGGCCACAAAGCCCTTTCTAATTCAACTTTGTTTAGGCCTGGGCACAGTACTGGGCACATTCTTGTTCCCAATTAAATATAGGGGCATTGTTTGTTATTTTCTTCTCTTTCAAAGGTACAAGTCGTTGGCTTAAACTTTTAGTTTATACACAGAAATAAGGAAAATTGTCATTGGAAAACCATCCATGTTTCCAAGCCAGGCACGCTGCTGAGGCAGAATATATATATATCATTGATAATGTTCAGCTTATAGCTTGACAAGACAAGTATTAATATCTCCATTTTCAGTTGAGGAAACTGAGGCCCAAGGAGTTTAAACGGAGAATCCCAGATTGGTTAATAGGTCGGTTTAGATCGATTCAGTATGGGACGAAGTTTCCCTCTTTCTCCTCCAGCATGCGTGTGGGTGCGTGACTGTGTTTCCTTCTACTCTTAAAGCCCTACTACTTTTTCTTCTGGTCAGTTTCCTCGATTTTACTTTTTCCAAACAAAGTCCAGTTCTTCTCCAAGGTCTCACCGCCCCCTCAGCCATCTCTCCAAGGCATTCCAAGGACCCACAGCCGCTCCCCCGCCAAGTTCGAAATCCCAGGCTTTGGCTCCGATGCGGGCTTCCACTCCCACCCTCCAGGGTCCCTCCTCCTCCTCTCCAGAGTCCCCGGGGCCCCAAGCCCTCGGCGGGATCCCGTAGTCCGAGCCTCGGCCCCGCCTCCCCTACCTGACGCCCGTGCGGCCGGGGGCGCCGCAGCCTCCGCCCACCGGCGCGCCTGGCCCGCCATTGGTTCCCCGGACTGCCCGTCTCCTCCGCCGGCCCCGCTCCTGCCCGGAGGCAGGTTTTGCTGGCGAAGCCGCAGTCCCGGTGGCGCGGGCGCGGCGCGCACGGGTTGTGGAACGTAGACCGCGGACCCGAGCTGGCCTGTCCCCGCGCGCGGCAGCCCCCGTCGGCCGCCAAGTCTGGGCGGCTGGTAAGTTGGCGGCGGTCTCCGGCGGCCGTGCCGCGGCCATGTAGTCGCCGGCGGGGCTCCCCGCAGCCCGGGAGCGTCAGCGAGAGCGACCCAGAGCCGCGCAGCCCGCAGCTTTCCCTGGAGACGCTGAGTGCGCGCCGCGTCGCCGCCGCCCCCGGGCCGCACTTTGGGCCCGAGAGGGAAATGGGGGAGAAAGTTTCGGAGGCGCCGGAGCCGGTGCCTCGCGGCTGCAGCGGCCACGGCCCCGGAGCTCCCGCCCCTGCGGTGGCCGCCGTGTCCTCTCCAGGCGCTTCCTCGGCCGAGTGCTCCTCGGGCTCAGAAACTCTGTCGGAGGAAGGGGAGCCCGGCGGCTTCTCCCGCGAGCAGCAGCCGCCGCCGCCGCCGCCGCCGCCGCCGCGCGGCGCCGTAAGAGCCCGGCCGCCGGCCGCGTGGGCTCCCGCGCGCGTGGTGCTTGAGCTTGGAGTCTGTGCGCCGCCGCCGCAGCTCTCCGGAGGAACCGCGCTACCCGCGCCCCGGGGCAGCAGCGCGTCCCAGGAGGAGCAGGACGAGGAGGTGAGTTTCCCCTTCCGCCGCTCCCCGCCGGTCCCGGCTATCGGGAGACCTCAGCTCTGCGCCCCGCGCGCGGCTAGTGGCAGGGCGCACCCGGGACGTGGGGACGGGGAGGGAACCCAGGTGCTCTGCCCGGAGGCCGGGGTGATGGCAGTTAGGAGCCTCCCGATGCTCTATTGACTACCCGTGCCTGTTACCTCCGCTTGTGTGTCTTCAGGTGCTCTCTGAGAGTGTGCTTTCCAAGATGTCAAAGCCGCGAACTCACTGTCCGTATCTGCTACGGTGGGTCTGGGTACGGGTGTGATCTGGACGCCTAGCTTGTCCCCGCAACTCAGAGCTCATTTTCCGAAGTGGGCGTTGCTTCCCGCCGCAGCTGTCGGGCGGAGGGGAGTGTGGTGAGGGGATGGGTGTGAGGGGAAGAGACTGTGTGTGGGTCCTGGCAGACGAGTGCGGGCCGTACCGCGGAGTTGCGCGGAGGCTGTCAGTGACGCCGGCCCCCGGGATCCCCTGCGGGTGGTTTTGGCTGGTCCGCGCAGCGTCGGTCTCCTGAGAGACGGGGACTCTCAGTTTTCCGTCCGCCGCGCTGACCTGCCCGCCTGCAGCGCCCTTTCGGGATGTTCCCGGGTGTCCAGATGCGCGCGGGTTGCCAAACTGGATAGAGAACCTCCCATTTTCGGCGAGGGCGGGGGAGGGGAACTGTGTCCATCCTGGTTTCTTGGAAGAATTTCTTCTAAAACTTGTCGGTTGCGCCCCGACACGTTGAGCATATGACTTTGGTGTCCTCTCCACTGCTTTTCTTGTTTTACGTTTTTGTTTGTTTGTTTGTTGTTTTTGTTTGTTTTTTCGGCCTTTGGCGCACGCTTAGAAAGCATGGCGTTCTTCATTATCTTTAAGATTGTTTGTTTGGGACGGTGGTTGTGCGGAAGTCATCTTGGTCAGGCAAGGTTATAAATAAAACATCATCCTAACATAGACTCCTTGGGAAATTAATTCTTCAGTGCCATAATCCTATTTTTCTTCTCTCTGGTGGGGTTAGCTTTAATAAGTAATTGTCCTTGTCTCTCAGAATATGCAAGTTGAGGTCAGTGTCCTGACATTGGGCCCCAGGGATCTCAGTCTGGACGCAAAGAGTGAATCTGGCACAAGGGGGGGGGGGAGTGAAGTCCTCGATGTCATGTCAATGGCCAGCCTTCTGCCAGTAACCCTGACTGATTTCTCTGTGTCCAGGAGGATTGTAAGGATCCTGGACAGGTGTCTGGAGACCTGCTTTCTAGAACTGTCTCTCTGCTCTTGAGTTGTGAGGCCTTGGGTGAATTTTTGCATTCCTCTGACTTTCAGTTTTATCTGTAGAATGAGGGATTTGAACCAGTTAACTTCAAGATAAAGTTAATTTCCACAAAAATGCAGGTTTTGTTTTGTTTTTGTTTGTTTGTTTTTGCTGATCAGGAATTCAGGATGGCTGAATCATTAAGACTGATCCTAGGGACAGGATGCTGGGAGTTAAGCTGAGTGCCATACCTACCACAGGGCTCTCAGGGTCCCTCAGTGGCTCTGTCTCATTTTGAAGATGCCAGGCATGTGCCAGGTGTTTACCCTGTGATATCTGCTTCAGCTTTCAAGAGGAGCACACTTGTCATCGGGCAGCTAGGGGTATGCCCTAACTCATTGATTTACTACTGGATCTCATTTAATGTTGTCATTAGTAGAAAAGATGCCCACTGTTTTCTGGGTAGCTAGGAGAGGGTGCTCTGGGGTAAATGACATGGTCTCGAGTATCTTGGGGGGGGGAAGTAGGTAACTTCTCACTTTGGATCCTGATTCTGTAGCTGATTTATTGCCTGGCCTTAGGGTGACAGTGTTTGACTTTCTCGGAAGTGGATGTAATGATAGCTTATTTCACAGGCAATGCAGTGAAGCTTGGTTGATGGAAACATATTTTGGAAAGTGCAATGACTAAATAAATATGGTCAGTATTTGTGAAATCTCAGAAGTGGATGTAAACTGATACAGTATTACAATTTACTGTGTAACTTACTCTGTGGCAGGGGTTGCTGGAAATTATCCAGGAGTGGAAACCTTGACTTGCTCTGAGGATTTTAAAGTGCAACTGTAACTGTGGAGTTTTTACCTCCTTAGGAGTACAGAAGCGGTAGTCTTGGTGAAAGGCCTTGAAGTCCAGTGTGTGGCGTTTCTTGTTTTGTTTTTTTATCCGCCTACAGGTGATCATATGGTGCAGTGATTTTTTTTAACTTATGTGGGGATCACGGGCTTTTTTGAGAATCTAATGTAAGCTCTCCATCTGTTCCTAAGAAAATGCACATAGATACAAACACTGTTCCAGAGGGTTCAGTTAGGTTACAAACACTAAGTTTAGTGGGAAGACCTGGGTTTGTGTCCCACCGCTGTCCCATTAACTAGATGCGGGATTGTGGACCATTCAACTCATGTAAGCCCTGGTTTTTGCACCGTTACATGGGAATAATAATGATAGAGTTAGGCATTTTATACGTGCCATTTAATTTAATCCTAGCACAGTATCTAACATAGAGTATTAAGTGCTAAATAAATATTAATTTTTCAGGTTAACTTGTGATGAAAATTTTGTGACAGGAAATTACGAACTTGGGCTGGCTTGTTATTTTTATTTATACATAAATAATCTGCTGCTTTGAGAGAACCTGAGGCTGTGTCTGTTCAGGTTATTCTGATTTTATTAGCATAAGCTGGGAAACAGATTTTATTTGTATCAGGTAGTGTTATGGCAGGGCAAAGTTAGTGTAATGTTAGTTATGCTACAGCAAGGCTCTGAGTATAAAGCATTAAAAGGCTTAAGTGCAACCCATAAAATGGGAAGAGGCTCATTTAGTTTTTGAAATTGTTATGTCTAGCTTGGGAGAGTCATTGCTTCCCAAAGTGTGTTTTTTCTTCTTACAGTAACATACTCTGTAACTTGTTAAAAAAAACAGCGAAATTCAAATATGTAGTGTATAATTGTGGTGCTAATTTTTTTGGCAACCTTGTGAAAGCTGATTTGACTATATCTAGTAGTGTCTTACAGTATTTTGTATTTTATCTTACTTTCAGTATGTGTGTAAACTTACTAAGTGTTACAGACTTAAATCGGCCCTTTATGCTTTTGGTGCTCAAAAACAATGGTTTGACAAGGCAGCGACTGTAGTTCTTTTGTACTTGAAACACTGGAGAGTTAAAGATGGCTCATGTCATTTCGTTTAATAAACAGCACCTGACTCCCTCTGCTGCTTTCTGAAGCCTTTGCATTTGGAGTCTGTGAGTTTTGAGAGGTAGTGGGCTCTATTAGTCTGTGGTGATCTAGATTGGAGGACTATTCTCTGATCACATGTCTCAGACTTCTGGGCACTCTGCTTTGTCATTTCTCAAAGCAACTTTCGTGGACACTAGTGAAATACTCAGGTGCTATTTTGCTGTTTCACTGAACTCCTCGATGGCAGGGATTTTGCTTTGTATGCCTAGCACAGTATGTCTAATACATTAGTAAGGACGCAGTGAATATATGTTGAATGAATAAGGAAAAAATGGCATCTTTGAAAATCATCGTGCATCTGATTGAAGGGTGACTGTATGTGTATCCATTTGTTTTTGTCTGTTGGGAGTTATGCTCAGACCTCTAGATCTCTTATCAAAAATATCTCATGGATCCAGGTTTTTTTGTTTTGTTTTTTTAAAAGAGAAAGGGAGAAGGAGGGAACAGAGCAGAGGGACAGGGAGACACTTTCATGCAAGCTCCATGCCCAGCACAGAGTCCGACGTGGGGCTGGATCTCACATTCCTGAGATCATGACTTGAGCCGAAATCAAGAGTCCATCACTCAACTGACTGAGCCACTCAGGTGTCCCAGGATCCAGGTAAAACCAAATCACCAAATCAAATACCTTTGAAGGGACTTGTGTATTAAGTCTGCTTTTCACTGTGTATATTAGAACTTGAAACTTTGAAGGATTCTTAGAATGGCTGAAAAAAAGGCTTAGTGGTTGAAAGGATTTTCAACTCGATATAAAGCAGCTCATTTATACTCTGCAACACTGAAGGGCTTGTTTTGTTGACATACGTTGGGAAACAGTTTCCTGTGTTAAGTAAGCACGGTAATGGGATGTCTCTGAACTGTTCTCTTAATTAGTGTTTGAGTTTGAGTACTGCTTTTAGTAATACTTGGGGTGTGCATGTGATAGTGATGCAGCAGATGAATTTCTGTTGATTAGTTAAGAAAATAAATAGCAAAAACAACCATGGATTCAGTAAAGTCCCCCCCCCCCCCGCTTTTTTAAAGATTTTATTTTTTGAGAGAGAGCATGCTTGTGTGCAGGAGTGAGCATGGGGCAGGGCAGAGTTGGGGAACAGAGGGAGAGGGAGAAGCTGACTTCCTGCTGAGCACGAAGCCTGACTCAGGGCTCTATCCCAGGACCCCAAGCTCATGACCTGAACCAAAGGCAGCCGCTTAACTGACTGAGGCACCCAGGCCCCTTCAGTAAAGCTTTTCTTGGGTTTGTATTTTATTAATCACAGCAGCTACATAATTTGAACAAAAGTAGTGTATAAATCTTGGTGCATTTAATATTTAGTCTCCTTTTTTGACTCACAATTTCATCAAGAGAGCCATGAGTTTAAAGAATCAGTCAAGCAGTATGTATTGCATGAGATTCTTACGAAGCATTGGCCTCAGCTCTAAGGGTCTGAGAGTGGATGAGACAGAGATAGCTTGGAGCTCACGGAGCTTCTAGTGTAGTTGGGGGAGATAGTCCCTAAACGTACAATTATTAGTTGGTTTTGCAGTTGGTAAATGGGTACAGAGGAGCAGACTGTGAGGGAGTGTGTCTGTATCGTATAACTCGTTTAATGTGGAGGTGAGCATTGCCTCACTGAGGTGGCGATATTTGAGCTGAGACCTAATGGATGAGTTCAAAATAGCTGGGAGGAGGGAAGGGGTCAGAGCGATGCAGAGAGCAGGAGGCTGTGAACCCGGAGAG